GTTGAGTACTTAAATTAAATGGTCCTGCAGTGACAATCAGCCAATGAGAAGAGTCCTAATTTGGCAACAAAATAAACTAAACCCTTTTTATGAGGCGAGGAGTGTGTCTTAGGTAATGAATGCTTAAGTAATTAGATGGTTTTTATGGAGATAACTATAAACTGAAACATAGGGGGAAAAAATCTTGCTAATAGGCTGACGCCCAGGGATGTGGGTATATAAGAGCCAGGGCAGCATAGAAAAGCATTGAGACACCAATTGAGACTTCTCTTCTCAACCCAACAAAAACCCAGCTCTTGACACCATGGCTTGCTGTGTTCCCTGCTGCTGCAGCGTCCCCACCGGCCCCGCCACCACCATCTGCTCCTCTGACAAATGCTGCCGTTGTGGGGTCTGCCTGCCTAGCACCTGCCCTCACGACATCAGCCTCCTCCAGCCCACCTGCTGTGACACCTGCCCCCCACCCTGCTGTGAGCCTGACACCTATGTTCCAACTTGCTGGCTGCTCAACTCTTGCTACCCAACTCCTGGACTGAGTGGGATCAACCTGACGACCTACGTTCAGCCTTGCTGTGAAAGTCCCTGTGAGCCCTGCTGTTGAGTGGCCATGCCTCTGCTCAGCTTCTGAGATGTGCTGCTCAACATCCTACCCACCCAGCCTTCGACATTCGCTGCTCCCTACGGCAGGCTAAATCAATCTCTACTCCCCAAGCCATGTTTCCGTGAATTAGCCCAACTTCTTAAATCTTCCTCCTTTGGGGAGAGTTGGAGGCCTTTCTGTCTTTAAGGTTATTTCACTGCTTTTTGAGAAATAACCATTTTGACTATTAATAAACTTCATTCTGGCTTAGCAGATACAGCCTTGTGATTATTTACTCCATGTTCTCTCTTAGAGAAAGTGGAATGCCTACCTAACCCTGAGCAGCAGGTCATCCTAACATCCAAGATTTACCTCAACAGAATAAGAGCGCTCATGATGGAATCACTGAAAAATTAAATTCTGGCCCTTTGTGATAGGTTAAAAAGTAAAAAAATTCAGTAGGTCATTTCATAGAAACTTTTTATTCAATAGATATTTTTTTAAGACAACTGCTATGCCAAGCACTATGCTAGAGTCTAGAGATTAATATAACATTTTTAAAATATTTTATTTATTTTAATTTCCATTACCTCTAAAATTGATTTTTCTTTCTTTCTTTATTGACTAAACAAAATTGATCACTTTTCTGGTGTATAGAAATAATTTTGACTCCCTTAGTCATAGTCATCAATGAAATTCCAAGCTCAAAATGCAATGCAATTTTGGGAAGTATATCTGTGTGTGTGATATCTGTGTGTGTGTGTGTGTGTACACGTGTGTGTGTAGATAGATAGATAGATAGATAGATAGATAGATAGATAGATTCATTTCTTGATATAGGCTGTCTTCTAGGAAAATCAATTTCGAATGAACTTTTGTTGCGTACTCCTTGCTTCCTCAAATTAGGCTTGGCTTACATTAGTCATAACAATATTTAGAAGTTTACTAGTCCAAATGACATATAATATCATGTCATTGAAATAAATTGAAAATATCAGGCTATAGTGCAGTCTTCTCCATACACCAGAAATAGTCACAGAATTATGGGAGCAAAAACACACACTTACTCCTACAACGAAACTTTTATGATGAGCATTAATTCATCTCTTTAGTTGTCCTGGAAAAATCCAAGCGTAGTAAGGTTTTTGAAGAAAGTACCCAGAGTACGGTCTAGTTGCATATTTTCCTAGACTTGCCTTGGGACTTTGGGTTGTTCTCTTCCCTCTCAGCCTGCTTCCTCATTATTACAACAGAAATAATACTCCCTTCCTTGCTTATGTCTCGGGATTACTGTGAGGCTCAAATGACCCAAAGCGTCCCCAGCAGCACTCCAGACACACGAGAGACCCTCACCACTACTGCCATACAGTGGTTCCCAGCTTTCTCACCGAAGGCATCCTTTATTTCTTGAAAAATATGTATTTTTTCCAAATGTCTTTTTAAAATATTAATTCGGTCCTTTCGTTTTTGTTCATAAATACATTTATTTATTTATTTTAATTAGCCTCAAGTATACATTACACTGGTTAGACATCTATATATAATACATTAATATGATATATTAATACATTATAACCATATTAATATGATTATGGCTATAACTGTGCCAAGTTACCTATTTTTTAGTCAAAAGCAAAGAAGTTTGATGTGTTTATACATGTTTGTAAGGGATAAATATTTAGACTTCATTTTTAATACTAAAAATAATTCTAAGTGTCCTATTACTACTACTGTGGGCCTTTGGGTATTCAAGGGCCCTTGGCTAGTTAAAAAGCCCCACCTGGAAATCGGGAGATGTGTGTTCCGGTCCTGGCTCTGCCTTGAGCTGCCTGTGACTCTGAGCAAGTCGCTTGAGCCTATTGGGTCTCAGGTCTTAAGTAAGGAAAATGGGTTGGTTGACCAAGTCCTCTCTAAAGGCCCTTTCGGTTTTGACAGTCTGTGGTTCTAGATTAGCCAGAAACATTTCAAGTAACAAGTACTCCATGCCACTAACTGACTCCATTCCACCTTACTTTTACTGCTTTCATTTGTAATAGCTAACATTTGGTGAATCTACTGGGTACTCAAATAGGCGCTTTATATGAATTATCTCATTTATTTCTAACAAAACACTAAGAAATACCTACTATTATTCTCCTCATTTTACCAGGGAGGAAACTGAAGCTGAGAAAGTTATTTGCAAAAGTTATACAAATAGTAAGTGACAGAGGAGATTAAACCTAAAAGTATCCAAAGCCCCTTCTCTTTCCAGTTCATCAAAACACTTGCCTCTTCTGCAGACAGAAATATGATAACACATGGCTCGCTTTATCCAGGAGAAAGTATATGCCACTTGACAATACATTCTCTGCTATTGCTATGAATTGTATATTTGGTTGTATATAGTAACTCAATCTTCTCTGTTGTTTAAGACAAAATGAGTGTATACAATGAGTCTAGAAACAACTGTCTACATTTCTAGGGTGAAAACGAATCATCTTTTTTTTAAAGTCAGATTTTAAATACTGATTAACAACATCAGCACAGGAAACATACTGGCTGGGTCTTTAACCTTGCATTGAAATGCAGAATGTTTGGCAACTCAAACACATTTTCAATTTTCTTATGAGTTTTAATAACCTAGTTCAAGGTGAAAACTAACTACCCTTAAAGTTAATAACTGTTTATCTTTGATAACAGAATAGAAAACCAAGTCATTTAATTTTTCTTTCAAATTGTTCCTGGCACCTTTCCTTCCTTTCTTTCACTGACTCGAGCCTAATCTAGACCCTGATCACCACACCCCTGATTACAACCACAATCTCCTAGCTGACCCTGAGTATTCCCTGCCCCTTCCTCCACCCAAACTGTACCTGTCAGATCAGTCTTCTGTCCCTCTATAAATACTGGTTAAATTGAAGTGCTCAGAACTCTAGGATGACTCAAGATTTTGTTCTTACTAAATCAACACTGACATCTTCAGTGTGACTCTCAAGAGCCTCAATAACCTGGTATAACCATTTTCACCAAATCTTACTTGCTACTAATCTTGGGGCAACATACGGTCTTACACTCCAGTCAGGGCAATGCTCCCTATACGATGGTCAAGAGAGTGGTCTCTGAAACTAGGCTGTCATACCCTATCACTAATTACACACCCCTGGTTATGTCACTTAACTTCTCTATGTCTCAGGTTCCTCAACCATTAGATAAGATTAGAAACAGTATGCACCTTACAAAAGACCTAACGAGTATACCACAAATCTGTCCAGGAGACGGAAAACAAGGAAAGACAGAGAAACTATCACAGACCAGAGAAGACTAAGGACATGTGATGACTAAACGGAATGCAGTGCCTCAGACTGGATCCTGGAACAGAGAAGGGACATTAGTGGAAAAACCAGTGATTTCTGAATAGTCTGAAGTTTAATTAATAGTGACGTACCAATGTTAGCTTCTTAGCTTTGACAAATGCACAGTGGTATTGTAAAGTATTATCATTGAGGGAAATTGAGTGAGGGATATACCGAAATGCTGTACTATCTGACTCAAACAGGCCTTAGGGTAGTGCGTGCTGATTGTCAAAGTTCAAGTCCACCTTTTTATACTCCATAATGATTGGATGAGGACTGTTTCTCCTTTGGCTGGTTTTCTACTAGATTCCACCAATAGAGGGATCTCTACAAGGAGCCTATAAGGCCTGAGGAAGAAAGAAGTGTCTTGTTGCCCCAGCAATAGCCCTTTATCCAGCAGATGCAACAGGTTATAGTTTCCAGTTTCTTTCCACATTCCAAAAAACAGCATCATTGCACCTTCTTAGAAACACCAGCATCAGCAAGGGAATGACTCCTCCCTCCCTCCCTCCCACGCAGGTCCAAACCCTGGATCCATGGGACCTCTCTTCTGAGCTTCTGAGATAAGAACCCCATCTGGGCTGAACTTGAGATCTGAGCCCAGCTCTGCAGGACCACTCTTCCAGACTTCTAGGTTCAGTTAACCACAACCTCTTCTCTTCATTCCCAGCCCTAGAGCCAGTAACCATTTCATGAGTTTGTTACCTCAGTTTTTCTTTCTTGCTTTTTCAGTCTTCTATATCTATTTAACCAATTCCCTATCTTAAAATTCTCTGTTGCAATACCTTGTGTGAGGGTTTTCTTATTTGCTTGTTTTCCTGACTAAACTTGATAGAGAAGCGTTCCATAAATGCTGGTGATCATTATTTTCCAAGCTTCCTTCTTTAAATATTTATTCCATGTGTTCTAGCCTCCAGATTCTACCCCCATGATCCAGGCTCTATGCTAGTACTAGAGAAATCAAGAAAAAGAAGACAGTCTCTGCTTTGAAGGGGAGGTTACATTCTAGTAGAGAGAATCAACGCTGTGCACAAAAAAAAATGCAGCAGAATTTTATGGGAGGCTCTGGGGTGCAATAAAAGTACAAAGGGTGTGGCCAAGTCTGCCAGGGCCAGGGGCTGAGAGTAAGGACAGAAAAATGTCGTCGAAGAAGTCATTGTTTTCCTTGGCCGAAATGCACTTATCTCTTTTCTAAGAGTTTCTGATCAAAACAACATACCGAATCCTCAGGAAGGCTTCTTTGATCATTTTAGCCCTCTTTCATTGTATTTCCTCTTGTGGGAATTCTCACAGCACCCAGAGGAGAAACTGCAATCGATTAGGTATCTCTATTGTGTCATATACATTGCTAAATAATTTTCATAAGTAATATTCATTTATCTTTGTTTAACTCTTGCAATAAAACTATAGTAGATGATTATTATTTTTCCCAAATTTGAGAAAACTGAAGCTAAATAACTTGATCTAGGTCTCGCAACATCCCAAATAGCTAAATAACTTGATCTAGGTCTCGTAACATGCTAAGCTCTAATCAGCATTCAAACCTACCCCTGAAACTCCTTCCATTACCTTTTCATTAATTGTATGGTGTTGGAATCATATAAAAAGAGATTTCTAGCCTTTTCCATCAGACCACATACTCCTAGAGGATGAGGACCATGTCTTCCATTTTTCTTTCTCTATTGCACTCTTTAGAATATCTTAGAGATTCAAAAATACTTGACTTAACAATGAATGGATTTGCTTACTCTGCTGTAGTTACATACTAGCTTTGGTCTAGTATAGTTTAGCCACTAGAACTGATTTAAAGTGGAAGGACTTTTAAAAAGGTAACTGTTTGTTTGATAGGAGGTGATTATCAGCTTTGGCAGTAGTTTTGAAAAATGGAATAGGCAGGTAGGCAGTTTGGTTTTTCTGAAAAGAAAGAACTTTTTGCAAGTTCATTTATTTCTAATGCTCATTTTTCAGACTATATATAGTCTCAAGAACCTATGTTTTAATATGTTCCAACTTGTGGTTAAAAAAACCAACATCCTTTGTAAAATTGGGAGTTTATTTATATTTATACATAATTGTATATAGCGATAATGTAGTGGATAGGTATAAAATTCACCTAGCAGGCTCTGAACTTCCTAATCAAGATCATGTTGCATGTCTGATATTCATTTATTCTCTCAAATCGATGAAAAGATAGCAAGGTGAATTTGGTAGAAAAACAGTCCCACAGATTTTGACTTCCCAAATATATCCAGGGCACACATTTTGAGAGAGATCATTTCTTACTTTTCAGGGAAATCACTCTTGATTCACTCTACTCAGCAGTGATCACTTGTAAGAACAAATTCTGGTTGGTAAAAAAGAGAAGAGTCAGAGTAACACTGATGAATTAACTGTGACTGAGTAAGTGGAGACACTATTTTGAAACTGAAACAGGAAGTAAGTTTGAATGTAGCAACACAACAAAATGAAACTGGAGAGCCTATCCTGTGACTTACAAATGACAAGTTAGTGAGTTCTTTGTATGAGATTATTCAAACAAGAAACATTCTGATGGACAAAAGCTACGTTCCCTGAGACAGGTGGATATAAAAGACCCACAGAGGACAACTTTGTAGAATAAAACCTGCCTTTGCAACAAAAATCTACTCAATCCACTGTCACCATGTCTTGCTGTGAGTCTTGTCTCCAAGGAAGCTGCAGTGTCCCCACCGGCCAGGCCACCACCAACTGCTCCCCTGATCTGTGCTGTCAATTTGGGGTCTACCTGCCTTGCAGTCGCCCACAAGAGATCAGCCTCTATCAGCCAACCTGCTATGACACCTGCCCCCTTGACTCCTGCCTGCCATCATGTTGGCTGCTCAAAAGCTGCCACCCTACTCCAAATCTGAGCGGGATCTCTGTCATAACCTGCATCCGGCCTGTGAGGAGGAAGCACCTTGCTGCTAGCCAAAGATGTTTCAAAGAGCTTGCCCACATTGCCCTAAGGCACTGCAATAGTCTTTAAGTGCTGCTCAGCAAATGCTATTTAATTTGAAGCTCTGGAAGAAAATGTTCTGACCCTGAGCCTTCGGTTTTGCAGAAGTTTTCTTTCTAAGTTTTGAATGATGATTTTAAAAGAGAAGTGGGAAAATGCTATCGTGAACTTCCTCACTTTAAAATAAAATAATCACCCCTGTTCTCCAAGCCATGCACTGTCTCAATGTTTAATGCTATAATTACCCAACAACTCTTGACACATGCATGCATCATGAACCTATAAAATGTCCGGCAAAATTACACTTCTGATGACATCAACATAAATCTTGTAGCCAAAAGGAGGCCTCACAGGGATATGTAAATATCTGAAGAAAATCTTCTGGATAATAAAATATATTAAGCTCTAACCTTAGAATCATTTTAAATTCCAAGGTTAGCACCTACTTTTAATTTTTATTTTTTCCCTGCCTCTTTAAGTAATTCACATACATCCTTAAAGAGGCTGGAAAACTGGCATTAAAGATCAATGAACGTACTCAGAGAAGGGACCCCAAAGACTGAGCTGGCCATATTTTTTACTGTATCATTTAAGTGAAGCTTTAAATGTAAAACTGTTTGACAACTGTAAAGCACTTCACAAGTGAAATGAATCATTTCGCTCATGTATATCATTATTATTATTATAAAGGGTTATTCTAAAAATAAATACATAGCTTTTTATTCTAATACACAATTTAATCCAATTCAATAAACACTTCTCAAATTCCTACTATGTTCCAGGCATGGTCCAGGTGCTTGACAGACACAAGGAAGGTTAAGACAAGATTCTCACTTTCAAGGAGTTTGCATTAGAGGGAGGAAGACAAGTATAAATGACAAACTATAATACGTAGCAGAACAAAACGAGGTCTAAATCAAAAGATAGGCAGCATACTTTGTGAGAGCAGAGAAAAGAATGAAAACATCGAGAGGAAACCACCTAAAGTTTCTTTATAAGATATTTAAGCTGATGATTGAGGGATGAATAAGATTCGAGAAGGAGAGAATCAAGGAAGGACATTCTAAGAAACAACATGATCGTGGTCACAGAGGTGTAAAGTACCTAGGAGACTCGAACCTTCATTTTTATTTGAGGTGTTTTATGATAAATATCAATATATAAGCCAAAATCAAACCAACTTCAGTAACAAGTCCTTTTGCTCATAAAATATATGAGGCTTATTTACCAGTGACCTGCAGTATTTTCCACTGATTTGTTTTAGCCAGATTTCTTTTCTTTTAAACAGGCCATGTTGATTTTCATTAATATGCCCTCAGACTCAACCCAACAAAGAATCTGTACTTTGTGTTTATTCAACAACCATTTACCATCTAACAAATTACGTAATTTAGATTCTACTTTGCGAATAGTTTGGTGCTGATCACGGGGAAGTATGTGAAAATGTTAGAATCACAGACTATTACACATGGAGATGATCTGATTCAACTTCCTCACCCGTCATTCCACAGTAAGGCAAACCAAGGCCAACGGAGGTGAACAATGTCATACAGGCATTTCCTCCAAGGAATTTACAACCTAATTGAAGACCCAAGATATGAAAACAAATAAACATGCAAAGTGGGGAGTAAGTCCACGGAAAATGATTTTTATGAATGCCAAAGTTCTAAATCACCCTGGATCAGATGCCCTTCCAGAACCCACCGTTGTTCTGTGAATCTTATGATTTCTCCTTTTAGTTCCTATTCTATCTTATTTCAAAATAAGTATATCATTCCTATAAAAATGAATGAAGTCTGAGGTGATTTTCTCTTGGATCTTTCCTTCCAGTGAATTTATACTTTGACTCACTACAAGATTGACAGAACTATGAGAATAGAGACTGTTTAAAAAAAAGAAATAGAGTAATACTACCTTTGGAATTTCACTATAGATTAATAAAAATAATAAAAAGGGGTTTCATCTTATTCCATTCTGGCTGTCACCTTGTTTGCTCAAGAGAACCTGAATTATATCTTGAATAAATAAGGCAAATATGTCTGAGATGCATGTAGTCCTATGCAACATTCATCTGTAAGTAGCCATGTCCTTACTGACTTTACTGAGTAGAAATTTGAGTTGCGTGTTCCGAAATTAGTAATTAAAAATCATATTATGTTACGTATATTATTTTAAATTATGGGAGAAAAAAACAAGAGGAAGAATTTAGCCTCTGAAATTATAGCTGAATTATCACTTAGACTGATTATCCATAATTCATGTAAAGTTTGGCATGCCAGGACCCTGTGGTAATAAAATGTGATCATCTTGTGATAAAAAAAATGACAAGTCAATGAGTCAAAAACACGATTACTTTAATAAGGACAGGAACTGTTAATAGACAAGTAAATACCAAACTGATTAGAGAATCTTAGTGCGAAAGAGTGGCATAAATAAAAATAAAAAGGGAGGCTTCTGGTTGGACCGACACTCACTGGGTAGAGTATATAAGAGCCCCAAAGCAAGAGGAAACATTTGCACTTCAGAAACTTCATCTTCCTTTCTGAGAAACCAAAAGCACAGAGATTCCCACCGCCATGGCTTGCTGTGCTCCCTGCTGCTGCAGCGTCCCCACGGGCCCCGCCACCACCATCTGCTCCTCTGACAAATGCTGCCGTTGTGGAGTCTGCCTGCCCAGCACCTGCCCACACACGACTTGGTTACTGGAGCCAACCTGCTGTGACAACTGCCCCCCACCCTGCCACGTTCCTCAGCCCTGTGTGCCCACCTGCTTCCTGCTCAACTCCTGCCTGCCCACCCCGGGTCTGGAGACCATCAACCTCACAACCTTCACTCAGCCCTGCTGTGATCCCTGCCTCCCAAGCTGCTGCTGACCGATGGCTGCTTCGCTCAGTACTTAACAATGAAAAATCCAGAAGCTGTCTGTCCAGTATTCACTTGCCTCAGTAGTTCATCGGATGTTGGGGTAGACCAGATGACTCAGATATGGAAAACCTACCTTTCATTTTAATGGAAAGAAATATATTTTTTTAATTGTTATGTTTATTTGGCTGAATAATCATTGGGTTCATCTGGACAGGTGAATGTCATCTATTATCAAAATACTATTGAAATCTGTAAGACCTCAGACTACATTTTTTTTGGTCATGCTGCTTCTTGGATCCCATTTCTCGAATTGGGTATTTTCACAGAGGGGGAAATAATTCTTGATGGGTTTTCCAATAAACTTCATTTCTCTGGCAAGATGTGTTTTTTATTTATGTTAGAGTTTTGGGTATATTTCTTTAATTTGGTATAATTCTTTTATTTTAATTTTTTTTAAAAGAAAAGAATCTATTAGAGGAATGCCTAGAACTAGCTTCCTAACACGGCTCGCTAAGTTTAATTTGGTGTCTTTCATGTTCACTTTCTTCTCTTCCTTCAATACAATTTTACTATCCTACTTACTTTTTTCTTATGCTAATTACCCTTTTTCCCAGCCTTAGAGAGATTATATATTACACATATATTACATATACATAATATGTTATATGTTATGTTACATATGACGTTATACATAACATTGTGCATGTATTATTGCATTATATAGAACAAATATATGTATAATACATATATAAAGGCACAAGTGAAAAACTGAAAAAGCACTGAGCCAAAATCCAAAGAGTACATGTGAAAAAGGAAAAGGCAGGGCAAGGACAGAGAGAAGCAAATGCCTTTAAATAAACATTTTTAAGTGTCCTCAGTGTGCCTGTTTAAGTCCAGAGGAGGATTTCTCAGAGGATCCCACAGGCTTATTAGCTCGACTTTGGATGAACAGAACTCAGAAGTCATGGGGTAGATGCGACACAACCTAGGATACAGTCAACAGAGGATTTAGCCCATTTACTCATTCATTTGGCCAATATTTCTTGAGAGCTTCCCCTGTGCCAGGCACCATATCCATGCTAGCAGTATAAAGATAAAAGAAATGTTATTACCTAGGGTGCCCTCAAGGTTTTTCTCAAATCTGGTGAAGAAGACAGATAAGTTATTATAATCCCAATATATGTGCTCTATATATGTTGTATGAATATAATTATAATCCTATGTGATTTCTGCTGTGACTGAGAGGTGAGCAGCATGTCGTGCAAGCACACACAAAGAGTAACTAAAGCCCAGATATGGTGATTCAGAGTCAGCGTGCGGGATAGTTATGGAAAGCTCTGAGCTATCTAGGCTGAGAATTAAGATGATGAGGCCAAAGGGGTGGGGAGCAGTTGTTCTAAACAGAACAGCAGCTTACTAACTCATAGGTGCCCTGATGATGGGGAGAAGAGGATGAGGCAAGCAAGAGAGAAGAAATGCAAAGATCCTGAGGTGGGGCTCCCCAGGAGAAGGGGTTTAGACTAAACCTCGAAGAAATGAGAGATTGGAAGCAAGAGACTAACAACCATATTTTACTTCTGTTTCTTTTTATTACCAATCTTTAATTTATGCCTTCACTGTCACAGATACCCCTTTGCTTATAGAATGGTATAATTAAAAAACTAGGCACATTCGTGTGTGTGTGTGTGTGTGTGTGTGTGGAGAGATCGGAAGCAAGAGACTAACAACCATATTTTACTTCTGTTTCTTTTTATTACCAATCTTTAATTTATGCCTTCACTGTCACAGATACCCCTTTGCTTATAGAATGGTATAATTAAAAAACTGGGCACATGTGTGTGTGTGTGTGTGCGTGTGTGTGCGTGTAGATTTGCAGCACTTCGAAATCTATCTAATCAAGAATCACATGTTCTTCCTGCATTCACTTAAAGGAAAAAGATACTCTTTGTTTCTAAAAATAAAATATTTAGTATTTCTGACATACACTTTAAACTTAATTATAAACCACATAAAAGGTAGCTCCATCCCAATAGGTCCTATTTTTAGTTTTTAACAAGTCAGTCATCAGCCATCTAAGGCAAATTATCTCACCTCTCTTAGACTCACTATCCTAATTTATAAACAAAGGAGAGTAATTCTTCCTCTGTTGACCAATGCAGAGAAAATAAATTTTAATAAACTACCACAAGCCTTTTCAATAAAAGAGATAAGTTTATTATCATAAACTTATTTTACAATTGTTTCTAATCTTTAACCTAATGTCTTATTTATAATTAAAGAAACGTAATACTGTACACAGAACAGTAACAATTCCTTTATCTTTATAAGCTTGACTTAAAGTCATATTGCACTCTGAATAAGAGTGATTTCTTTCTGCCATGAAATTCTAATTATGAAAGTCTGCAAACTCCTTTGTAATGGTTTTCTTAAAACATCAAAATAATTTCTTCTGTTTACTGTTTTTCTGCTCTTAGAATCAAGTCCTTTTCCTTCCTATCATAATGTATAATAACAGTAATTTATAATATATTATGTGTGATAAATCTTCCACCAGACTGTAAGTTCTATGAGAGCAAGGATAGTGTCTGTTTTGTTCACTGCTATATGTCCAACATTTATCACAGTGCCTAGCACATGGTGACTGCTTGATAAATGTCTATTAAATTCAGTCTTAAATACTGAAAAATAGTAATCAGTCCTAAGTAACAGGGTGCGTAATTTGGCATGTTTTTCACTCAAAGATAAATCTGGGTGAGGGCCTGAGACACAAGCAGAGACCACAAATTCTTTCTTCCAAGAAGAGCCATGGAGAACCATTTTTAATTTGAAATATGTTAATTTCTATGCCAGTCATTTTCCTTAATTACAGGTGTGGACTTTTAGATAAATCTTTGCTATTTCCTGCAAAGTTGTTCTTTTACTTACCTTCAGCTATATTTTCCTCCTTTGGACTATGTTTCTTCCCCCTCTCCCTTTCCTTGAGTTTGATCTACAACTTACGTCGATAATGATGGTAATAATTTATCTTGTATAGCACTTTATGGTTTTCTATGGACTTTATCCCATTTTATTTCATGGGAGCCACACAATAACCTTCTGATAGGGAAAATTTAGACACTATTACCTTTATTTTTCAAAGGAGAAAAAATGAGGTTCCAAAAAGTGAATTACTTGCCATAATAAGAAAGGTAACGAGCAGTACTAGGACCAGTAAACAACTCTCTTGACTCCTAAGGTAGTCCTCTCGAATCCACACCCCTCCGAAAAAAACCACACAGACGTGCCCCGCATCGTGCACTGATATGCAGATATACTTGAAGGAGGAAGTGGAGAAAATGGGAAAAAGCATGGCTTGAAAGACGAGTGGGTCAAAGTTAAGTGGAAACGGTTTGAGCAGGAGCCCGCTTTGTGTTCCCTCTTACATACTGAACAATGCCTGAATCTAAATGACACCCTGCAACTGGAATCCAGGTCTTCCCTACCACGCTTACAACTCATTTGGGGAGAAAATGGATTACACTGGGGAAAAAAGTGAATAAAATCAAATGTGAACAGATTAGCCTAGGTCCGTAACTTCACTTTCCATTGGTAGCAATTTCATTTAAATATTAGTGTAACGGTCTTAAATTATTCTTTTCCTTAATATGAAGATGTAAGCTAAAAATTCAACTTTCCCACATGTAACCGAGAAGGAAACAAAGCAAGCCGGTTCTCCATAGAAAGATAAATGGCAATGCACATGTGAAAGAATGTGTTAGCCTAACTTGTTAAAAGAAAAAAACACAAAAATGAAATTTCATTTTTCACCTACCACTGGCAAACACTTTTAAAATAAAAGACCCATCAAAAGTATATAGAAAACAGAAATTCTCAAACATAGCTGGTGAGAATGCATAAATAGAAAGAAATAGGTAAACAGAACCATTCTGGAGGGCAATGTGCCAATGGATATCAAAGGCCTTAAAATATTATTAACATTTGTTCTGATAATTCTATCCAATAATTATTTTTGTCCTGAAGTAATCAGAAATGTACATAAAGATTTATACACACAGTTGTTCACTATTGCCGCAATTATAGAAAAAAGTTAAAAAACATAAATGATTAATAATATTAAACTTTTAAGTAACTTAAAAGTACAATTATATGATGAATTCTAGGAAACAGTAAAAATAAATTATCAAATATATTTAAGAATACAAGATAATGAAATATATATGTTTAAGCAAAAAGGCAAGTTATAGAACAGTATATACAATATGATTTCAGTAATATAATAAAATGATAAGCAAATGTACAGAGAAATGGCTAGAGCTATATATATAAATATTAATAGAGAATTTCTCTATATGATAAAATTATGGATGAGTTTTCATCATACTGTTCTATACTGTCCAGATTTTTTAAATAAATGCGTAATATTTTATAGTCAAAAATAGGTGTATCTTAAAAGTCTGTCCATATTTCTCAATAGGGTATTTCTCCCTATTAATGTAAGTTTGAGCTTCAAAACTCCTAAAACTAAATTAATACAATGTGATTATATATCGCATTGTATATCATTTGAAAAATAATTCTTAAAAAGGTCTCAAAGCTAAAAGAAAGTGACTAAAATCAAGTTCAGCTCTTTAAAACAAGATTATTTCACCAGATAATTGATACAGGTGAAGAGAATAAAAACAGACCAGCACTAGCAATAATACCTACATACTACGGGTGTACTATCAGGCCATATTCCCCAGCAGGGCTGGTGTTAGAATTCTAGTAGCAGAAGTTTTTGGTGATACCTCATTAAGCTTCTGTTCCAGTGACCAATAGCAAGAGTAGTCAGCTCAGATTTAGCAAGGAACTCAAATAAAGGTTAATTAGGAGAACAGAGACTGTTTACAAGCATCTAAATGTCAAATCAATCAAAGGATAATGGATACACTAACATAAACAAGAACCAGGAAAGAAGCCTTCTAGTTAGACCAACACCCATTGGGGAGGGTATATAAGAATCCCAGAG